GAGGAGTTCCGGGGCTGAGGATACAGCTCGGCTGGTAGAGTACCAATCTTGTATGCTTGAGGCCTGGATTTAATCCCCACTCTATAAACCTGAGTGGTGGCGGTTGTCTGTGATCCCAGTGGGAGGTAGAGGCAGGAGCATCAGCAGTTCGAGATGACCATTGGCTATAAAAGAATTCAAGGCAAGCCTAGGCTACATAAGACCCTTTTTCCAAAAATAATGATCTCTTATCTAGTTGGTATATGTACAAGTTATTAACAGATTATGGTATAGTTTTGTGGGTCTTTCTTTTTTTTTTTTTTTTGGTTTTGTTTTGTCTTGTTTTTGTCAGGCTGGGGATGGACTCAGGGCCTTATGCATTCTAAGCTCGCACTGTCCAATTGAGCTATATCTTAGCCTGTTTCCTCATACACGTGTGTTTTTGTAGTTAGTGTGTACTTCACACTCCCAGCATGCAAGTGGTCAGTGGCCCTTTGTGGCCAGTGGGTACCACGGTGAGTGTTTTTGACTATTGACTTCTAAAACTTGCTGAAGGGATACCTTTCCCTGTCATTTAAATTTTTGTTCTTTTTGAGGTAGTATCTCATGTATCCCAGGATGACCTCGAACTCTCTGAGGGTGACCTTGGACTTCTGATCCTCCTGCCTTCACCTCCAGAGTGCGGGGATGATAGCCATGCATCACTGTGACTGGTTTTATGGAGTTCTGAGGATTGAATCCAGGGCTTTGTGCATGCTGGGCAAGTACCCTACCAACTGTGTAAGTGTAACACAGTAAGTCCCTTTTTTTGTGCACAAATAAGTTCCTTACACTTATTTGTGGTTTCTTTTTTATTACAATCTATTATTTATTGTGTGTGTGTACACAAGTGTCTATGTGTGCTGGTGTACTCACAGCATGGCATACAATGTGGCAGCAGAGGTAAGTTGCATGAGTCAGTTTTCTCCTTCTACCCTGTGGGTCCAGGGATGGAACTCAGATGGTCCAGCTTGGCAGCAAGCACCTTTATCTTCTGAGCCATCTCACCTGCCCTTGCTTTGGGTTTCTGTTCCGTGAGACAGAAAATAATTGTAACCAGCTCCTGAGGAGCCACAGTGGTGATAACTGCTGAAGTAACTGGACAAGGCATTAGAGGCACCCAGCCAAGAGGAGCTCTGGCCAAGTTCACTCTACGTCACACACGCACCTTCACTCCCAGGTACTTGACAGCACCAAGAGGCTTCAGCATCTTTGTCGTAAGTGATGACTCCAAGTTCAGAGAGCATGGCAGGTGCCGGCATGCCCAGCTGACGTGTCTCATCCAGGACAGGGTACTTGGCACCCTGCTGCCCGCTGGTCTCTGGAGTCCCCAAGGCTGGGAGGTCTTGTGGCTTGACTGGACCCCCTGCTCACTCTTCCCGGACTCCCTCACAGCTGCTGGCCCTGGAGTGCCTGGCACCTCCATACAAATGCTTACTCTCTCTTCCTCCCGTCAAATCCCAGCCCCTCCCCAGGCTGCATGAACTCCTATTCACCCATTCAAATCATATTCTTAGAGGGCAGGCTTCAGAGTGAGGGTGATGTCCATGAAAAAACCGGGAGCCCCTTGTGGAACTGTTAAATGGGTGACTCCTGGGACTCTGCAGGAATGGAGAGCTTATTTTTGTTCTTGAAGGACCCTGGGGTTGATTCTCGGGCCAGACACACATGCTGATCATAACAAGCTTTTTCCTGTACCAGGTAAAGAATGGCACTCAGGGCATGAGGACAGACAGGGACTGTGGTTATCATAGAGCAGGACCATATCCCAAGTGTCAGCAGGGACCTGGGTGCACAGACTAGACCCAAGTCCCAGCTGTGGTGTCCACTTCCTGAGCCTCAGACTCTTTGTAAGATGGGAGAATGTGTCAAGAAGATCCCGGCCACTGGGCTGGTGAGTTGGCTCAGTGGTTAGGGTGCCTGCCTCCAAGCCTGACAACCTGGGCTAGATCCCTGGAACCCACATGCTGGAGGGAGAGAATTGACTCTAGGCAAGTTGTCTTCTGACAGTCACTGTGTCATGCACCGTCCTGCAAATAATTTAATTTTTAAAAAATTTGTTTTGAGACAGGGTTTCTCTGTGTAGCCTTGGCTGTTCTGGAACTCGCTCTGAAGACCAGGCTGGCCTTGAACTCACAGAGATCCGCCTGCCCCTGCCTCTCAAATGCTGGGATTAAAGGCGTGTGCCAGCACTGCCTGGTCAAATAAATTAATTTTTAAAAAGCAATAAAAAGTCAGTATTCCAGGTCATATGCAAATCAGAGACATTTACAAAGCAGAGTCGGGGAAGGTGGTCCATCTGCATATCTCTTCTCTCTACAGCAGACTAATTGTGTCCCCAAAGGCTGAAGAGTCAAAAGCTCAGAAATTCATCATTATCCTCCCAGCAGGAATCAAAAGGCTGCCTCTGCCCTCCTGAGAGAAGTTTTGTGGTCACCTGGCACACACTTGGACAACAGGATCTACATTTCCTTTCCCCTCCCCTCGAGCGTGTTACAGCCCAGAAGGTAAGCCTCACTCTTCCCAGGTTTAGGTTCTCAGGGCCAGTGTTTATTCAGCAAGCCGTCTTAGCTTGCTGTTTGGAGGGTTCCAGCAATCTTTGTGTTGGCTGGAGCACTGAGGGGCTGGGATGCCTGAAGGCAGGTGAGGGCCCCTCTCCGATGGGACATTTGCTGTTGTTTCAGACCTGGGGCTGAGGGAGAAGCTTCCCGGTACCTCGGGGATCTGGCTGGGCCTACTCCAGCATTACTTCCATGAAAAGCCTTCAGGAGCCCAGCTGGAAGGGAAGGGGAGAGAACCAATAGAGACGCACGGTACTACCAACCAGGGGTAAATTAACCCCACCTGGTCCAAGCCCTTGGCACGTGTTTGTCTTTGTGGATTCCCTTTCTCCAGTTATTAGCACGTGATGCGTGCTCACCTGGAGGTCTTTATTCATCGCTACCACCGTCCATTGCTGCTATGCTATTACCTTTACCGCCACCCACCCACACCCTGGAAACCTCCGAAGCCCTGCTGTCACCCCACCCCCCACACACACACACCCCACGTTCCCATAATAGTTTTTACTTCTGGGTTTTTTGGTTTGTTTTTTCGAGACAAGGTTTCTCTGTGTAGCGCTGGCTGTCCTGGAATTCGCTCTGTAAACCAGGCTGGCCTCGAACTCACAGAGATCTGCCTGCCTCTGTGTCCTGAGTGCTGGGATTAGGCTGGCTAGTTTTTACTTCTTCAGTGACACTGGCCAGTGTCGGCTGGCTACTCACCCACTGGCCTTGCTAGAACGACAGGAGCCTCTGGAAGGGCTGGCTCCTTGGCATTTCCTAGGGCGCTCTCCACCTGAACACATGCACCTGTCACAGTCCCTAATGGGGAGCTCAGTGGTCAGGATGTTCATTATAGAATTCTTTAGTATTAATATCTGGGAGAGTGGGAAGGACAAAGGTGACCGCTTCTTCCAGTTTCTCCATGGGACCTCTGGGGCTAAAATGGCCTCTGCATTGTCACACATCCAAAGAAATGGGTGTGATAGCCTCAGGAATGTTGACCCCCACCCCATTCCACCCCCGGAGACATGTGACTTCCAGGAGCATCCAGTGCAGCAGAGGTGGTCCCTGGAGAGGCTGACAGGGAGTGACTGACACAGTGGCGCCTCACAGAGCAGTGACCTGCAGCTGGAAAGAGAGCGGGCCAGCAAGGAACGGAGGACTTGTGTATCTATGCAGTCTCAGGCTGTGAAGGGCTCAGGTCGCCAAAGACTCACTCAGTTACTTCCCATAAGCAGAATGTAGCCTGACTGCCCCAAGGCATGGTCTGTGGGTCCAGCTCCAGGGGTTGTACCACTTCCTACCTGCCCGTGCCCACTGTTCACACTCAGCCAGACTCACCTTTCCAAAAGCAGATTATAAACAACATCAAAACCTTAAAGGGCCAGAAGGATGGTAAATGTGCTTGCTGCCTATCCTGAGGACCACAATGAAAGATGGCACATTGGTAAGGGTGCTTGCTGCCTGTCCTGAAGACCTTAGTTCGATCCTCAGACCCGCATAGTAGAAAAAGAAATGACTCCTGCAAGTTATCCTCTGAACTTTACACACGCCAAGGTACAATGCCGCGCACACCCCCCACTCCCAACAGAGGTGTAGGGTAGGGACGGAGAGAGAGAATTGTAAACTAAAAAACAACCCTAAGGGAAGGAAGTGGGGGAGGCAGTGGAGAGAGACCCCAGCTTCCTGTGTTTCTGTTGCCCTGGACACTTCACCCGTTTCCTAAGCTCTTCTGTAGGTCACAGGAGCCCGGCTTGTCAAAGCACAGGGTTGTCACAAGCCTTGTGTTTCTGTAACTACTTTCTCTTCAGATGCTTGCTAGGCACATCTGGATTCCAACTAAGGACAAACTCTGGGCTCTGTGTAACACGCCCAGGTGTCTATTTTATTTTACGGAAAGGTCTCCTGCATTTCCGTAACTTACTGTGTAGCAGATAATGACCTTGAACTTGTGATCCTTCTGCCTCCACCAGTGCTGGGTCTGTTCTACTGCACCTGGGCTTAGAACCTAGGGCTTTGTGTATGTTAGGAGAGCAGTGAACTGCATAAACGCCTAGCCAAGGAATTAAAGACAAGAAAAAGCTACAGGGGAGAAAAAAGGCCATAGCATCAGTGCTCAGTGCAATGAAATACAAAAGCAACCTTAACGCGACCCAGAGTGCCGAGGTGCTCCTGCCACCGACAACTGCCCTGTGGCTCTGGGGATCTGCCCCTGGGCTCAGCGTCGGGGCTGAGAGGCGAGCAGGCCGCAGCAGCGAGGGTGGCCGCGTCCCCAGGGTCAGCGGCCAGGAGCTAGCTCCCGGAAAGGCACAGGACAGCTCAGCCAGGTGCGGCCAGCGCCGCCCTCCCGCCGCGCTAGCCGTGGGGGGCGGGCCTGCAGTAACCACGCCCCAGAGTGCCACGCCCACCTGAGGCCCATAAAAGGCGCCGCCCGCCGGCTGCTCGGGTTCGAGTGCGGCTTGGGGGTGGACTGCTGACGGCCAGCGACGCGGCGGCCAGCTCGGTGCCACGCCCCAGCCGGTGCTGCGGGAGCCCCAGCCATGCTGTTCTGGCACACGCAGCCCGAACACTACAACCAGCACAACTCTGGCAGCTACCTGCGGTAAGACCGGGCAGCACCTGCCTGCGATCCGGGTCAGGGCGCCGACCGATCAGTGCGGCCTCCAGGGTGGGGACCCTCCGGGAGACCCCCGGGGGGTCTGATCGGGGAGGCGGCGCTCTGATGCCCGCGGGGCGACTCTCCGAGGTCTCCCTGTCGCTGGCAGCGTCCCCGGCCGGGTCCCGCAGCTTTCCCTCTCCCTTCTCCAGTTGGAGAAATAAACTTGCCACATCCATCACGAGCTCGTGTGTCCCGGGAAGCCAGGCCCCGCTCTTTGCTCTTCGCGGCCCGTAGGCCCACAGGTGGGTGGCGGGAGCCGGTCTGCGCTGCAGCCTTGCCGGCCGAGGCTCCAGGGGGCTGGCCGTCCCTGCCCGGGTGAGCTTGGTGTGGCCCCCAAGGCCCCCAGCTTCACCGAAATCTCTTCTGCGGGGATTTCTTTGCGTACGTCAAGCGAAGAGGGTCCCGCGGGTTTTGCAAAGTTCTCTGAACTCCCTGTTTTAGGAAGTAGACCCCCCCCACCCCCACCCCTTTTCCTTCGATGACTGTGGGATTCTTTTTCCACTGTGGTGCAGCTGACTGGAGGGCTAATAGGCAGGCATTTCATTTTCTGAACTCGCCAGAACCAGCTTCAACCTGTCTTTATTTCCATCCTAGTCACAGTTTATTATATGTGCCTTACTTAACCCAAAGGGTGTTGGACGTGGGCTCAGGAAAAAGTGAACTGGCAAGCAGAAGTCAGTCCCAACTACAGAACCTTAAGTGCTTCTTTGGACCCCCCAAATCTCCCCGCTTGAATTTTCTGTTATTTATTTGTGCTTTCCAGCTTCTGATTCATTTATGTCTAGAATTTATGCCTCTGGGAAGGCACCCTCTTCTTAGCAAGCCAAGGACTGACCAGGTTTCACTGGTGTATCTTCAGTTGTTTGTTGAACTCAAGCCACAGAAAGTGGCGATCAGCCTAGGGTCTAGACTGCAGATCCCGGTGTGTTGAGGGTTATGCAAAGCCCACTGTTAAAATGCTACAGAGTAAATACATGTTAACTGTATAACACTATAGGGTTGCTTGTAGTTTCCTTTGAATTGTAGTGAGTGGCCATTAGGTATCTCATCCTATTTTAAAAATGAATTTGAAGGTGACCTTGAGCTGAAGGAAGCGTATTTGAAAGCTAGATGCATAAGACATCATCCTGTTAGGGGATGGTTTTGTGAGAGGAGAGGTGTGGTTTTTGCATCTGTGCCCGCCATGGAAGTTTGTGAGCCAGCCCAGATACTTTTAGGCTTTGGACTTTGCAGGGGAGAAGGAAGGAACATTGGGGCTGAGAGCCACTACAAAGCCACGCTGGCTCCTTTGAGGAAGCAGTGGGTGAGGACAGCCCGTCCTCCCCTCTTGGAAGCTGTTTTACTATTATTATTATTGTGTATTTTTACTTTCCAATAGACCCAGTGAGGAAGTTTTTCTTTGTTTTGCTTTCCTTTTTAAAAAATGTTTTAAATTTAATTTTATTTTCCACAGTGCTGGGATGAACCCTGGGACTTACACTTCTTCCATTTTGACAACTTCCGGCCCTCCTTTTTATCATGATTATTTTTGTTCTGCTAGAAGTTCTGCAAGCCATCTGACTTCACCGAATAGTGAATGGCCTTCCAGTCCCTCCCTCTCCTTTCCGTTTGATGTTCTGGTGACTTTTATTCCTTGGCAAATAAGGACACCAGGCCAGAGAAACAAGTTAGTGTTGAGTGACAGTTCTTAACAACCCCCTCGTTTTTTTTTTTAATTTAAAAGTAACAGTGCATGGATTATTAACTTAACATGGTCTGGGCAAACATGAAAGTATGCAATTCTTAGGTGAGCAGGATGGCTTGCTCCTTCCCGAGCTCCTTGATAATTGCCCAGCCTGGAGAAGGTGGAGGGAAGGTTTGCTTCTGGTGAAGGTGCAGCTGCGCAGCCCCGCTCTCCCTCCCTGGGCAGCAGACAGGAATAGCAGAAGAGCCCGAGTGGGGAAGGTTTCCCAGGTGTGCCCAAAGGCAGGCTTTCTGAGAATTTGTTAGACACTGTCGGGGTGTGTGCTGGGTTGTATTTTGTGAACACTCATTTATGATGGTGTACAGGGAACACATCGTACTGGTGATTATGCCGTGAAGTGGGGTCAGCTGATCTGATTCATGGCCCAGACCCATGGAGGGAGGAGGGTCATCAAGATAGGGCGGGACACCTTTTGGTAGCTGTTTCTGTGGCAACATAGTTTAGAATCTTTAAGCCTTGCCTGCCTGCAGGTCATTCTGATCCTCAGGGATTTCAGTGTTCCTTGCAAGGACATTATCTGAAGTCCTGGCAACTCAGCAGACTGAGGTGAGACAGTTCATTGAGTCTGGGGGTTCAAGGCCAGCCTGGGCAACATACTGATACCCTCCTGAAAAAGTCTAGAAACCAATTCCTCTGCCACAGGGTGATTGGAGGCTGATGTGTACATGTATGTGCATGTGTGTAGGGGCCATAGGACTGCCTTCAGTATTGTTTTATTTGTTGAGACAGGGTCTCACTATGTAACTCTAGCTGTCCTGTAACTCTCTGTAGACCAGGCTGGCCTCGAACTCACAAAGATCCACCTGCCTCTCCCTCCCAAGTGATGCGATTAAAGGCGTGGGCCACTATGGCTGGCCAGTCTTTAGTAATGTTCCTCGGGTACCATTCATTCTGTTTTTTTGAGGCTGGGTCGCCTGAGAAGTAGGCTAAGGTGTCTGGCCAGCGAACCTCGGGGGTCACCCTGTCCCGTCTCCCCAGCACTGGCATCTCTAGTGTGTGCTGCTACACTCAGCTTTTGTAGGCTGTGGGCTCTGGGATTGACCTCGGTCCTCATGCTTGCAAATGTTTTAATGACTGAGCTGTCTCCCCAGCCCAGGGCTGATGTTTTTGGTGTAGGGAACATGATTTAGAGGCGAAGGAAACAGCTCTCTGAGTATTCTAAGATTTGCCGCTTGGGTAAGAAAACTGAAATCAAGGTTTTCTATCTTCATGGTATTTTGGAGAGATCATTATGAGCTTTAAAACAGGAGCTGTGGGCTGGCAGCATGGCTCAGCAGGTAAAGGTGCTTGCTACCAAGCCTAATGACCTGAGTTCAATCCCAGGAGTCCACACGGTGGAGAGAACCAGCTCCCAAAAGATCTTGGTGTTAACACACACGCTTATATGCAGTTGTTCACATGTACGTGTGCCTGTGCACACTCACACATGCAGATAACCAACTAAATAAATACATGTCGGAAATTCAAGAAACAACAAAAACAAACAACAAAACCCCAAGTGGGGTGGTGGCGGGTAGTAGTGGGGGTCGCACGCCTTTAACCCCAGCACTCGGGATGCAGAGGCAGGTGGATGTCTGTGAGTTCAAGGCCCGGCCTGGTCTACAGAGTGAGTTCCAGGACAGCCAGGGCTACACAGAGAAACTTTGTCTTGAACCCCTTCCTCCTCAACAGAAAATCCCAAATAAACAAGCCAGTTGTCCCCTTTTTGGAAGAGATGGAGGTGTGTGTCCATCTGGGCGAGGAGGCCACTGGCTCTTCAGTTAGGTAGCTTACAGTTAGGAAGTACTGTCGAGCGGAGGAGTTGATCACAGAATAGAAATCGGGGCTGGTGAGGCGGCTCTTGGTAAAGGGGCTGAGTTTGACTCCCCGAGTTCAGTCCCTGGGACCCACATGATAGGAAAGACCTGAGTTTTGCAAGTTGTCTGTGACCCCCACGCATGTCGTGATATGTGTGTGACTCACCTCCCCCCACACTAAATAAATAAATAATATAAAAACTGGGAACAAAAATTGTTCAGAGGATTATTCTCAAAGATGCTTTGAGCAAGTGCTTACAGATAGGAAGCAGGTGCCCATGTTGGGGTTATAGTCCTGTGGTACAGCGTTGTTTAGTGTGCACACCACGGTTCGAGGTTCAGTCCCTGAGAAGTATATCCCTTCCCCAGAAAAAAAAGGAGAAAAAAAAAAAAAGAAATAGCTTTCTAAGAGAAAAAGAAAGAGATAGCTGATGGTTTCTGTTGCTTAGGTTTCGGGAGGTAGAAGACAATTTTACACTTTCTCTTCTCCAGGCGTTGGATGAATAGATCTCCTGAGGGCTAGGATCATGAAGTAGTGGTTGCATCTGAGATTTGGGCCATGTGGGTAAGGAGGTAGGTCAGCGTGTCACACTGGACTCTGAAGTCATCTTTGGTACCATGGCCTGCATCCATCTTGCCCGACATTGCTCTGTGTTCCTGGGCTTTGCTTCTGATCTCACCACTTCCTGTGTTTTACAGGGATGTGCTGGCTCTGCCCATCTTCAAGCAGGAGGAACCACAGCTATCCCCTGAAAATGGGGCCCGCCTGCCGCCCCTACAGTACGTGCTGTGTGCCGCCACCTCTCCAGCTGTGAAGTTACATGAAGAGACCTTGACATACCTCAACCAAGGTAGAGGCCTCCATAGGGGTGGAACCTGGGTGGGTGAACAAGTGGGGTAGTTAGCAGACGGTGTACAAGACCCTGTTGGCCTTCTTTAGCTGTGACATGGGACAATGAAAAGAGTACGGGCTTCAGGGTCAGGCACAGGCTTCGAGTCTGTTGCCAAGCTGTGCTGTGTGGCTTCCCACACAGGACCACCATGACTTCACTGGGTAAATGGAAATATTGCAAACTGAGCTGGGAGTAGTGATTTGAGCCTGGAGTCCTACTCCAAGGGCAGAGGCAGCATGAACAACAGAATGACACTCCTGGAAAAAAAGAAAGGAAGGGAAAGTCAAGTGCGGGTCATCTTGTAAGATCCCTTCCTCCACAGCCTCTAAAAGTCGGGGATTGCTATTACTGTGGGGTGCTTTTGTTACACTTTGATACCTGGTCTGCTGTCCTTTATGGAGTAACGGCTGGCCTGTATCCTCGTCAGCTCAGGGTCTGGCTTCCACCCACTGGAGAGCAGCTGCCACTGGCTGCCTAGGTCACCGTGGCTCTAGCCCACTGACTTGCTATTTCTTATTCTCAGAGCCTCAGTGATTTCTGGGTTTTGTTTTGTTTTGTTTTGTTTTGTTTTGTTTTGTTTGAGACAGGGTTTCTCTATGTAGTTTTGGTGCCTGTCCTGGATCTCACTCTGTAGACCAGGCTGGCCTTGAACTCACAGAGATCCGCCTGGCTCTGCCTCCCGAGTGCTGGGATTAAAGGTGTGCACCACCAGCACCCAGTCCTCAGTGATTTCTTGTGGAAAACAAGAAAGTCTGATTTTGGGGGGTTGTTTAAAAGGGTGAAGATAAGTGACCTGCCTGGCGTGATGGCAGTGTGCAATCACTAACTTTTCCATTTTTGTTTCTTTGTTGTTGTTGTTGTTTTTTTTTTTTTTTTTGGTTTTTCGAGACAGGGTTTCTCTGTGTAGCTTTGCGCCTTTCCTGGATCTCGCGCTGTAGCTCAGGCTGGCCTCGAACTCACAGAGATCCGCCTGGCTCTGCCTCCCGAGTGCTGGGATTAAAGGCGTGCGCCACCACCGCCCGGCTCTTTGTTGTTTTTTGATTGGAGTCTCGCTGTGTAGTCCAGGTTAGTCTGGAACTCAAGATCCTCCTGCCTCAACCTCCTAAGAAGTGCTGAGACTGTGGATAGGCTTGTGCTCTGTGTCTAGCTTTCAATACTCCTTTAAAGTTTTTCATTATGTTCATATATGTATGTATGTGTGTGATTATGTTATGTATCTGTATAAGTGTATGTGTGTGTGCTTACGTTTATGTATATCTGTGTGTGCGTGTGCGCATGCACACTCGAGGTCTGAGGAGTTTGTTCTCTTTCACCATGTGGAACTCAGGTCATGGACTTGGCAGCAATCAGGCATCTCACCACCCCATGTTCCCATTTTTGAGAGTTTTAGTTGTCAGACCCATGAGCTGAGCCACTTACGTAGCTTACAGTTAGGAAGTACTGCCGAGCGGAGGAGTTGATCACAGAATAGAAATCGGGGCTGGTGAGGCGGCTCTTGGTAAAGGGGCTGAGTTTGACTCCCCGAGTTCAGTCCCTGGGACCCACATGATAGGAAAGACCTGAGTTTTGCAAGTTGTCTGTGACCCCCACGCATGTCATGATATGTGTGTGACTCGCTCCCCCTTACACTAAATAAATAAATAATATAAAAACTGGGAACAAAAATTGTTCAGAGGATTATTCTCAAAGATGCTTTGAGCAAGTGCTTACAGATGGGAAGCAGGTGCCCATGTTGGGGCTATAGTTCCGTGGTACAGCGTTGTTTAGTGTGCACACCACGGTTCGAGGTTCAGTCCCTGAGAAGTATATCCCTTCCCCAGAAAAAAAGGAGAAAAAAAAAAAAAAAGAAACAGCTTTCTAAGAGAAAAAGAAAGAGATAGCTGATGGTTTCTGTTGCTTAGGTTTCAGGAGGTAGAAGACAGTTTTGCACTTTCCCTTCTCCAGGCATTGGATGAATAGATCTCCTGAGGGCCATTGGATGGGGCTAGGATCATGAAGTAGTGGTTGCATCTGAGATTTGGGCCTGGTGGAGAGTTTCAATGGTGTCTGTCCTGATGACGGGACTGTAGTTAGCATGTCTCCTGGACTGCCTCAGAATGAATCTGGTTGCCATCGCCCAGTTCACTGGTTCCTCCTCTGCTGCGAGTTGGAATCTGGGAGGGGCAGTTGAGCCCTGGTAAAAAGCTGCCTTCATTCTGCAGAATTGCCTCTTGGATTTGACCTTGCTGGGGTCCATAGCTCACAGTGACCCGGGTCCGTAGCTCACGGTGAATGGAAGTGCCTGGACTACCCCTGCATGGAATCTGCCCCGTCATTGCTGGTCCACCCCTGAGGAAGGCAGGCTTCACCCTGTAGGCCGGACACTCTCTACTCCTTGTGTGGTGGCTGTTGGCCATTGATGGCAGGTGGCAGGCCAGTTGGAAGCAGTCCCTTGTGTGTTTGCACAGTGGCTTCTGTCATTGTCCTTTCTTGCTCGGTGAAGGTTAACTGCTGCCAATTTTCTCTTTGAGCAGTTTCTTTCCTCATCAGCCCCCCACCCCCACCCCCTCCCCACCACCCCTTCCTGCTTAAGTTGGAGAGTGAAGGAATGAGGCCACTGAGCTGATGTGGGTCTTGTTTGGGGCCATGTCCCATGTGAGCTGGTGGGTGAGCAGTGAACAGGGACATTGTGTGTTTGTCCCCTGCCCCCATTGTAAGGCCTCTCTTCGGTGGTGTTCATCCTGCCCCACCCTGTCATTTAGCGAATGGTAGAAAGTGTTTGATGGCATACTAGGTCTTATTAACAAGTTTACAAGAGAACATCCTCGTCCCCATCACAGATGTTAAAGGCCCCACCCTGTGGTTTCATCCACCTGCCTGTGTTAGTTAACGTGGTGCAATTCCTTTGGATGCTTACAGATTCATTTATTTTTATTTTTATTATTATCATTATTATTCATTCATTTCACAACAATGGAAGCTGAGCCCAGGGCCCCCTGCACAACAGTGCTCTAGCGCAGAGCCACACTCCCTCCATCCCTACCTACTTTAAGTTATGTGTTTTTTGATGTTTTGAGACAGAGTGTCTCTGTTTCCCAGGTTCGTGGAACTTCCTGTGCATCCCAGATTGACCTCTGTCTAACTCCATTTGTCTCCATTTTCCAAATGTATTGTCTCGACTGAATAGTAAATGTTCATCACAGAAAGTGTAGACTGTTTACACGATCCAGCTGTTTAGAAGGGCTGGGACATAGCTCACTTGCCAGAGTGCTTGCCTAGCATGCAGGAAGCCCTGGGTTTGATCCCCAGTGCCTCCTAAACCAAGTGTGGTGGTACACACTTATAATCCCAGGTCTCTGAGAGGCAGGAGTTATCAGAAGTTCAAGGTCACCCTCAGCTACATAGAGGGAGGATAGCCAGGGATGCTTGAGAGCCCGTCTTTACAAAGAAAGGAAGGAAAGGAGAGATGAAGCTCTCAGCATTATAATTTTAAGAATGAGTTATATGGGTTTGGTGTGGTAGTGTATGAATTTAATCCCAGCACTCAGGAAGCAGAGACAGGGGGATTTCTGTGAGTTTGAGGCCAGCCTGATCTACATGGTGAGTTCCAGGCCAGCCAAAGTTTCATAGAAACCCTGTCTTTAAAAAAGTTACTATTTACTTTCTATGCTTTCATCCTCTCTGTAGTAACTACTATGTGACAATATCCATACATTGTGTGTAATATATTCATTGTTGCTAATTTGCATGTTTCTGCCAAATTAAAAAAGTATCCAGCTGAAACTCAAGAAAGTAACTGAAAAACAGAGCAAAAGGCAGAAAACTCAAAAATCAAATTTAAGTCTCCTCTAATATCATGCGTGTGCGTGCATGTGCGCTTATTTAATTCCATTTATTTAGCAGGGGGGGGGGGCATTTTCTTGCTACGGCACACTTGCAGAGGTCAGAGGACAACTTTGGGAAGTCAGTTTTCTCCCACCCCTGGGTCCTGGTGGTGGGAGCAGTCAGGCTTGGCAGCAGGTGCCTTTACCAGCTGAGCTATCTTGCCAGCCTGGCCGTTAATCTTCTATGTATTTTATATATGTGTCTTTTAAAACTGGAATATAGTGTTGTACTGTAAACTCTGTTACTCTGGCCAGTTTTTTGTTTGTTTGTTTGTTTTGTTTTGTTTTTTCAAATAGGGTTTCTCTGTGTAGTTTTGGTGTCCTGGATCTCGCTCGGTAGCCCAGGCTAGCCTCGAACTCACAGAGCTTCGCCTGCCTCTGTCTGCCTCCCCAGTGCTGGGATTAAAGACAGGCATGGGCCACCACCACTGTCTGGCTCTGGCCAGTTTTATATTGTGAACACTCATTGTTGTTGTTGGAAATTAAACACTGAAGGACAGTGAGATGACTGAACAGGTAAGGACACTTGCCCCCAAGACTGACAACCTGAGTTCAATCCCCAGGACCCACATGGTGGAAGGAGAGAGCTGATTTTGGAAAGTTGTCCTCGGACCTCTACATATGTGCCATGGCATGGGCATGCGCACACACACATACCAATAAATGTAATAATTTTTAAAAAAATTAAACTTTGAGGACTGGGGATATAGTTCCGTGGTAGAGCACTTGTCCAGAAATTGCACACCTTCGCATATACGGCCTGGTTATCCTGTAGTTACATACCTAACAAGTAGAATTATGGCATTCAAATGTCACACATCTTGGCAGAGTGTCTCATTGCCAGTTTTCACATGAGATTTTGGTTTTTTAATAAAAATCTTGGTGTAGTGTCTTAGTTGCTGTTCTGTTGCTGTGAAGAGACACCATGAACTAGACAACTCTTAATTATAAAAGAAAGCGTTTAACAGGAGGCTTGCTTACAGTAATTTCCTTATGTCCTTTGTAAATTTCTCTTGAAGTCCTGGTCCCATCCACTGGGAGAGACCATTTAGGAACCATTTTGCGGTCATATGTTTTTCTCTGTCAGCCATTTAG